ATTAAGTAATTTACTTGAAGGACATATACTTGGCTCCCTTATTTGCCGCCCAAAAAAAAAAATATTAAAGGAGCCAACCATGGAAGGTAAGCCTACTTCAGCAATTGTAATTTGGTACGATAGAAATATAGCAGTATAGTCTATGTAAGGTCAGTTTTATTGCGCTTTAGAGAAACTCGTATAATTAGACATATCATATATAGGAATCTTAACAGAATCGTATTATTATTACAATTTAAAAGGTACTCTAGAAATATATTTTAATATATAATCCCGTAAACATAGTCAATTAGTTATAAAGATTCGAATCCGGAAGGTTGGTGTAAAATCACTTTCACGGTCCTCTCTTCCATGTATCAGAAGCTTCGCCTGTCATTTTCTTCTTGGAAAGATAGGTTAGTTAATAATCTTTACTCGACAAATATATACTAGTACAAGGCAGCTAGCAATAGAAAAGAATGATGCTATGACACTAATAGTAATGAGAACCTCTATTATCACAAATTTTAATTTTCATAGCACCATTCATGCTCAAAATCGAATGACTCTGTCTCCCCAATTTTGTTATATCTCTTTATTCGATTTCACCAGTGTCTCCATAGAAAAAGAACGTTTGATTAATTAGTTGAGACAAAAGTCGTAAAAGAGTGTGTTTTTAGTCCGGTAGTTGGGGGAAAGTAACGTGGAAAAAGTGGCAACGAGTTGGTGATCATCAAATTATCATGTACGTCAACCAATAAATGAATGAACGGATCTTGAAAAGAGTCGATTAAAAAAAAAGCATTTACCTAAAAATAAAAAAGCACAAGAATAACCAGAAAGAGTTTTTTTTTTTTTAAAAAAAAAAGGAGGACTTTTACTGGGGTCCATGTCGAAAGTGGACTTTTAGAAGAAAAACAAGAGAGTGAAAAAAACAACATGGGATAAGAGGCAAGTGGGAACCACATTTTCCGTCCTTCTTGTCTTCTCTGACCGTAACTGTCAAATGTCTTAATGCACCTTTTGCAAAGTTATGGCCAGCATTCATTCCGCGGCAAATTAGAAGAAATTAAGTTTATATGATAATATGATAGTAGTATATAATAATATAATATAATATATACTCCTCCGATCGATTTTAAATATAAAACCCAATTACATTATAAAATGATCTTTTATATTTAGGATGAGGAGTATATCGTTTTGATAAATTATATTGTCATTTATTTCATATGCTTCTAATTGGAGCAGTTGCCTAGGACGTTTGCCTCCTAATTACTTTGCTTTCATGCTTTGGACTGTTTTCAAACACTCCTTCCTTTAATTTGTGTGGTGACCACCACGAGGGAATCTTAACCGACTTGTGCGCATGATATCATTTATTGGGTTGATGATTCCGGCTAACCTGTCGGTTTAGAGCTAGCCTACCGCGAGTTGAAGGCTTGACGAGTAGGTTTGAAACAACTCTTTTCTTAATGACCAAAACCTGCTAAACATCTCTCTTTTTCTTTTAAAAAAAAAACATCTTAAATATATATTTTTAAATTTTAAGTTAAGTTAAAAAATGTAGATTGAATTCTGATTATTTTTAATAATCTAATTATTTTTAAATAACTTGTAAATATAAATATATAATATATTTTTAATGGTTATTTTATTAATATAAAAGAGGTAAATCACATGAGAAAATGGGAAATCAAAGTTTTTGACAAAATACAAGACCATATTTAAATTGAATTAGAATTAAATAACTGTTTTAAAAAATGACTAACCCATGACAAGAGCAGACTGAAAAGACCTGTCTCAAAACGAGCTATATACTCTAATTCTAATTAACAAAACGCCCAAATAATTCTTTATTTATATACTCAGTGGTTAATAGTTAATGCTAAATAGGAGCATGCCTTGGTTTCCTCTTCTCCTGCCTATACAGTGGGGAAATTTTGGTTATTTTATCGAACACATATATATGTAGTTGACAATAATCTATTTTTGGCAGAAGTTTAACTCCGGGATGTTAATTGTAGGGGCAGATATTTGTTAGCCATTCTGTCACGAGGAGTTATGCAGAGAGCCACCGACACGTATTGCTGGCACGTGATCTCATATGTTGAATGATATATGTATGCCAAAATGAAGTGTGCTCTCCTTTCCCTTCTTAGTTCTTACACAAGCTAGTTAGACAATTGTATTTAATTTTAAATATAAGTTCTTAACATATTATTTTTTATATTATATTTTTAAAACCAATTTACTTAATTTATAAGCTGATATATAATCTTACTCATGAGTATTTTAGGGTGATCGATTTTTTTTTTGCTAGCGAAAAAGATCATGTCTTATTTATTATAATTTATCTAACTTTTTCATTTTTGTAGATTAATTAAGTAACTCGTATATTAAGAATTAATACTGCTATTTTTATATTTCTTTCAAATATGAGGCACTTATAGTGACAAAAATATATAAGGCAATTATGACAATGTTTCAGTAGTTTAAAATATATATTATTTGGATCATTAAATGCCTTTTTTTTTTGGCTCAAGTTTGTCACAATATGCAGAGAAACCTGGGATTAATAAGTAGGAATTTTAACCATTAGTGAAAGATGAATATGAAAAAAATATATCTTGCGACAAATTTAGCGAGTTTAATTAAATTTAGCCAATTTTGTTGATAGTGCGGAGGTAGTCAGGTAGGCATTGGTGCCTTTGTATTGAGATGATGGGAGGAAGAACAAAAGTAATGAGAACGGATGAAAATTACGTAATGCCCTGTTTATTATGTATGTTTTATATAGAGGCTAAATTATTTTTTGATAAGATATGAATATGATAAAAACATATATAAAATATAAAATTGTAATATTACTTTTACAAAAAAAAATTTTATGGACAAACAAAAGGCGAATTTGACCTTTTATATATCCTGTTCCACAACGCTCATCGTTATTTCACGTCCAAGCATAGTCCAAGGGAAAAAGGGCGGGAAAACAAGGAATGAATTTCCTAAATGAGGATAAACATGAGCCTTCCTTTTTCTTCCCATTCGTAACTTTTTTATCACACCAAATATATAGGCCATAAAGATGCAATGAATCGGAAAATGATGGCCAACAGGGGTAAGTCTTCAGCACGAGAAAAATTTTAGTAACAAGATAAGACAAACGTGAAAGATACTCACTTAGATATAAAATTCATTTTGTAGTGTAAATTATATTAGAAAATAAGTTTTATATTAAGACTAGAGGAGTATTTTAAATTATATATTTGAGATAATTTAGAAATTATCCCTGTCTTAATCCATATGAGCTTAGCTCTTATGTGTGTCGCTTGTATGGATGTATGGACTCGTGCCCAAAAGTCATGCTTTCATGATTTGGATGTTTTCTGAAAGCAGCCTTAATTGATCGGGTTTAGGATCAAACTCGAAAACCTGAATTATTTTCTTTTTGACCCAAGTTTCACGTTGTCGTAATAAATGTCCAAATTTCGAACGGCTAAAAGTAAGTATCTAAAATCCAGTCTGCATAATCCAAATCTAAGCTCTAATTACCGACTTATAATGTTCGAAATTCCAATTAAACTGAATCATACGAAATTTACAAATCCAAGTTTTCAATTACAAATAAATATGAATATATTATAATGTCCAGATTGCAAATACGAATTTGAATATTCCTTAATCCTATCTTCATTGTCAATAAATATTAACCTTTAGAAGTAGATCTGTTGGTTAGTGAAGGTGGAGGTACTATCTCAACAATCTCACTCATGTATCTAAATCTTTCAAGCTTGTATTTTTATATTCACAAGGTTTAAACTTTATAATAGAATATTTTTCGCTTAATTCAACGATTATTTCGTTTTGTTTGGTTTTAGTCTCCAAAGCGGCGGCTTGAAAATTTTTCATATCTCTGGTGATTGTTAAATAAATATTTTCCATCCAAATATTATTCATATTATCAGGCCGGAAAAAAAACTATTCATATCATATTGGAATTAATGAATGAACATTCTGGCGGCATGCATGAATAAAATGATGAAAATTGATGTGACCATCATAGCGTACATGGTCAGTCCCTCGTATCACGGAGAGCCACACTGATGGACATGATCAGAGATGCATCCATCCATACTTTTCAACCGCCGTCCTCAAAAGTTGGAACCAAATTCTTCGTGAATTGGCAAATTTATTGCCGCCTTCTATTTTTAATGTAAAATTTCATTTAATTTTTTTAATCTTAAATATAATATTTTAATTTATTTTATTTCTTATATTTACGTATTTTTTAAGGGGAGTTCTTCTAATAATAATAGTTTTAATTAGCAAAGATATTTTAGAAAAAACAATACCTATTTATTATAAATAACTAATTAACTTATTTTTCTAATTTACTAAAATTAGTCAACTAATTCTTATATTTAGGATGGAGGTAGTACAACATAGTGCACATGTCCAATCCAGTATCAATTTTTTTAAAAAAGTCCTTTCTTTTTCGTGAAACGTTTAAATTAAGCAATCAATTATATATATTATTTTCTTAAAATACACATTTAGGTTATTTTGTCAACAAATGTGATTTTTTAAAATTTGTTTTGTCATAAGTTGTACACTCATTATAAAGGTTCTACAAGGTCCCAACCAATAAATTTAATTTTTTTACACTACGTATTTATTCTGGAAGTAAAATTTATTTAGTTTAGCCATATGTATGATATAAATCATATACACAGTATTAAGAGATTTGCCATCTAAACTAGATTATATGTAAACTTTATGCAGTATAAGTAGATCTACAGAATTCAAATATTTTAAACATGGATAAATACAGAGAGATTAAGAGAGATAAGTGTTATATTTATACTCCTCCAATCATAAATATAAGACCCTTTTTATAGTATAATTTACACTATAAAAAGAGTTTTATATTTAGAATCGGAAGAGTATTATTTAGGGTCGCCAAGTTTCGAATGATATTTTTAACAGAGAAAGTTGCATGGAATACAAATAAAAAAAAATAGGACTAAAAAAAAAAACTATGGATTCATTAAAGAGTGTAGATACAAGCAGATAGCCAAGAGAAAAGAAAGCAGGGACCAGCTGAGCTAGATTTACCTACGGAGGAAAAGCTACAAACTGATTCCCAAAACATATGTCCCAAGAGAGAAAAGACCAAAGCCGAATAAAAACAAAATCTTACTTCTGGGGTCTATCGTCTATTCCAGGAGAATCCGGGGACCTGTCTCTCAACCCATCCCTCAGGTGAAAATAAAATCCTCCCTTTTCTATATTTTTACTTTTTACCCCACATGTCCATCTCAGTTCCCAAACTTAAAAAACAAAAATATATAAATCAGGAATTACCAGTCCACTAACCTTTGACATTTGTACTTGGACCCCATCGGAAGCTATGCCTGCTTGGCCAAATCCTTCGCGTCCACAAAGGTCCCATGAAAACCATACGGCACCCGTGACGGCAGCTTCACCTCCGCCTCCGCCCCCAAATCCTTCGCGTTCACAATCTGGAGCTCCGACTTCCATGTCCTCTCGTCGTGTACGAATGCCATAATGTACCCCTCATCTTCTTCTCCGTCTTTGCCTTTCGGCAAGAAGAATGGCTCCCCGCCGTATCTTCTATCGCCGTAGTAGTACTTCTTCACCTCACCTGTTAACAGGTCTACCTTCGCGAAACCAGACACCTTCGGCCACGGCTCCGCAATGGCGAGATATGCGAACCGGGTTTTCCTCCCGAGTCGGTTCCGGTTCACCATACCCGCTTCCAAGTTCACCGATTCCGAGATTATGGGGCGGCGCGTGGACTTACCTGTACGCAAGTTCAATCTGATTTCCGACAATACGCTTTCCAAATTCTGGTCACATTCGTTGAAAATCGAATCCGGCGGTGTCATGCACGAGCCGATAACAACGACCTCGTTCGTCTCGGGTTCCTCCCAGGCATTCCATAGATGGAAGCAGAAGGTATCGGGCGATTCCACCCATATGATGTCGGAGGCGTTTTGGGCATTCTTCGCGAGAATTCCGAAACGCGATTTCTTCTTTTTGTCGTAGATTACAGGAGAGCCCCCGGTGACCATCTCTTGGAGCTTGAAGACTACTTGCTGGTCTGGTATGACCACGAAATTCTTCGTGATTGCGAAGTCGTGCATCATTGTCGGAGCCGGTAAAGGGATTTCGACATCGGGTGATTTCTTCCCGTCTGCTGAGAATCGGAAGTACTTGAGATATGGCTTGGAAATAACGTCGTAGCTGAGAGCAAACAGCTCACCGGATTCTGGGTCGACCTTCGGGTGGGCAATCATGTTGGATTTGAGCTGGTCGTCGAAACTGTAACGGCCTACTGTCTGGAGATCACCGGAGGGAGTTATTCGCACTTGGTAAGGGAGGTCGTCTTCCGACATGGCAAGAAGGCGGTCATTGAAGTATACTAAGCCAGCGTTGGCAACTCCGGTGCCGTGATGGTGGTCGACGAGGCCGAAGAGTCCTCTGGCGTAGAAGAGGAGAAGCCGAGCAATACCCGAGTGCCCGTGAAGCTCGCCAATGGCTTTAGGGAACATCGGACGGCCGAGTTTTCGTTCTTGAACCAGTCTCTCCGTTTCAGTGAAGCGGCAAGCGTAACTGGCTCCGCCACCATTGATAGTAACGGCGTGAACCATGCCATCGCCGTCGAAGAAATGATGACCAGCTACGGGTTCAAATAACGGATTGGCGCCATTTCGGAGATAGACCCCACTGACGCAATCAGGAATGGAGCCGACAACGGGAAGGGAGTGTTGGACGGGTTGTTCAGGGACGGGAGCGAAGTTGCCAGATATCTGGACGCGAGGGTCGGCGGTTTTGGGAAGAGGGTGCTGGAGCTCGCGTGAGACCAACGCGCTCTCAACCAAGTCGAAAGCCATTGAAGCAGCTTTCTGGAAGGGATTCCATCGAGGAGATTGGTGAGTCTTGGGATTAGAAGTGGGAGCTGCATGAGAATTACCGTTGGGGATGAGTGGTTGGGGATAGGTTTGACTGGAGAGATGATGGTATATGGACGGAGAGTTTAAAGCGCACTGAACATTGGCTCTTCTGGTGCTTATGGGCTTCTTGGCGAAGGAGATGGACTTGAGGGAGAAGCCCAAATCCACAAGTGATGAAGAAGACGAAGAAAACTGATGTGGGATTTGAGGTTTAGCCCATGTAGAACTAGAGCTTGGGGTCGCTCTTGCCATGATCGTGGAGGTTTTAGGCCGTCTCAGACTGGAGTCGAACCGGAGTCGGGTTTTGTTTTGTTTTGTCACAGAGAGAGAGAGAGAGAGAGAGAGAAGGTGAAGGGGAGGTTTGAGGGCGAGAGGGAGAGAACTGCTGGGTATAAATAGAGGTGGGGATTTTTGAAACCAAAGTTTTTTTTTTTTAATTTCTCTTTTCTCCATTTTTTTTTTCAGAAAAAAATTCCTTTGGTATGTATGTGGGTCGACCTCGTGATACACGTAAGAGAAGACCACGTGGTGGATTGGTGGAAAGGGCACTTGGGTTTTCTTCACGCTAAGTGGCCAAGGAATCCAGAACTCGGTTCCCCATTGCTTGGCTTTCACCTTTTTACGAGCTATAGTGATTTTAAAAATATATGTATATAGATAAAAAAAATTTTAAATATACAATATCTTAAAATTTATATCATATGTAAAAATTTTAAGTAATCAGGATATTTTACATATGACGTCATATTTATGTGAAAGGAGTTGGGAATATGCGGTTCATGAAATGTTATAAATTTTTATGACAAAATGTTGTCATTGCATTTAGATTTGTAAAAGCTAAAAACTAATCTGTAATGAATTAACAGAAACTGATATTTAGTTTGTTATTGATTTTAATAATTAGTTGATGAATAATGTCCGAATAATTTGATTTAATTTTCATAATTCCGACGAGAATATACCGTTGGGCGCAGAGCGAGAGGCAGAGAATTAAGAGAGAAGAAGAGGTAGAGTCCTAAAAGGTCACATGAAGCCAAGAAAAATTAAGGTACGTCCAAAGTGAGCCCACTGACTTTACTAGCAGGCGCATTATTTTTGAATTACAAACTGAAAATTTACGAGTGAGTCAAGTGGACCCAATAAGATTATTTAATATTCAAGTAAAAGGCGTGAGACCCAATCACACCCACAAAATGAACATGACAAAGCAGGTAGAGGCCAGTTGAGGGTCAAGCCATACAAACACTACTCACTCTTTATAATCCTATTGGCCCCCACAATTTGAACTTATACACACACACACACATATATATACACGTATGTATATTATATATTTTGTTATTTGGTTGATTCCACTGTAAGGGAATGAGAGGGAAAAGTGTTGGTTAGAGCCACGAATATTTGTCACATCACTGATTATAGTGCCGCAGGCTAAACCAAGAAGAAGTCAGATTCACAAACACAGACACTCACTTCCTCACTACTATGGCGATACAAATAGTGCTCAGCTTTATATATATATCAACGTCCATATCCATATCTTTTGCTGTCTGCTAGCTAGAGTTTACTTTCTTGGGCTATAGTTATGCAGATTGTGATCTCCATAGTCCTCCACATTTCTGCACAACAAAGTGACAATAAACTCGTCATGGTAGCGTTGAGATATATATATTCTTTTTCATCAATTACGTACCTCTGATTTCTTATCACTTATCATCTTCCTCTTCGCTTTATCCACTTTCTACAATGTTAACAACTGATGGATGACCTCCACCTCTTGGACATTGTGAACAACAACTATACAGCTCCAGCTGCGAGGAAGCGTCGAATTGACTCTCTTGTGATGTTTGATCGGATCTGTGCAGAAAACCAGAAGATCAGAAGCTATATATGAAATCAATTAAGAGTTTCTTTCATCGACAACGTGACCCTTGGAACATGTCAAGAAGCCATTTGCGGGACGTCAACGTCGGGATTGCTTGTCAATATCCAATAGCATAATTCGCGTTATATCCCAAAAGCTAGAATTTTTTCCATAACAAGGACAATACTGATAGTAACCAACATGAAAAATGACCTTTCTTCAGAGGGAGCAAAACTTATCGCAGCAGACTGAATCCCTTGTATTTACAACAACAGTAAACATGTACAAGAAAAGATATGTAAAGTTAGAAATAATCAACTTTAAGAATAATTAGGGTGGGTGAGATATTTGTAAAAGTCTAGAGTTTACGTACGTTCTTAAGCTCATGGTTTTGTGTTTGAACATATAAATATAAGAAGGTAGAGAAATGAATATATATGAATAGAATTTGTTTTTTTTTGGGCGGGGGGGTCCGCAGATGGGAGGGGAGGAAGTGAAAGGTTGATGGCCAGTAATAAATGCGAATTGCATGGAGGGATGGCTCATTGGTGTGGGATTTTGGAGTGTAGTGAGGTTGCCACGGATGCTTCTCGGCACCATCCGAACACGAAGCCATCGGGGGCACTGTCACGCCCCACCGCTCAAACACGGCTTGATAGCAATGCCTCATCCCCATTCGCTTTCCCCTCTCATATCTATTTCAGCATATTTCTTCCAGTTTGCAGCCATTAATCACCCACCACCGCCTTAACCCCCACAAGACGCATTCATGCGGTCAACATTTGATTATTCCTTCCAAATCATCTTCGTCGTCACTAATTGTTTGTACCTTTACGCTGTGCTCAAAACTAAAGCATGTTCGCATAGGGTCCCATAATAAACGACTTCTGCTAGATGTTTCTTCCTAGCCAATTCCAAGCCCGGACAAAGAATACTAATCAAATTTTCGTCCTATTCATGCAATATATTAATCATATATACTTCCTAATAACGTGTATCAGTAAATATGTTGGCGTATATATGGTGAATCCATTTGTCCTTGTTCTGTGTTTGAGTGGAAACCTTAACTTTACGGCTGATTTTGAGCTCTGGACCTATCTTCTGATGGTCAATTTCGTTGATGCTAATGACATATATAGCTTTAATGAAAGTCTCTGCAAATTGCGCAGCTTGGAGTATGTTGGGGGCCCAAGCTCATTAACGGACATCCTCAGCGATCAATATGCACATCCGTTGGGAAAAAGGGGAAAGGAAATATCAATTAGGAAAGCTTCCTGACAATGATAGCGAGTTTTGTTTGTTACTAATGGTATATGTATCCAATATCAAATGTTGTTGGAATTTAAAAATCTCATTGCCAACTTATCTATAGCGAGGAAGCCACTGCACATATATAAATATATATCGATAATTTGATAAAAAGAGAAAATGTTATTCGTACGCATGCATTTTCCATAAATATCTAACACTTCGTAGATAATTCTGTTGGGTGCAAGTATAATACTATTCGTGTTAGGTCCTCTCACAAACTGCTTCATTTTGTCAATCTGTTCACACTGTCATTTTCATTGGCCGGTTCGAGATTCTTCATGTGAATATATCTCACTTCTTTCCTATGGGGTGTCTTCTTTTTTATTCTCCCTCCTCTCTGATTATGAAGATATCATCCAGCACCAATCATTTTGTAGAGAATTACTCAACCTTTTATATATGCTTGTTTTTCTTTAAAAATGTTGTTTGTTCTTGCCTTGGACTTATTCTTAGTGTCCCAGAAGTCAAAAAAGAAAATGAAAATCATGTGTGCTAATAGATAGTACTTTTCTGCCATTTTTCTCCTCAAGATGTCCCGCGTAAATTCCATCAACCTCCCATGTAAGTATTTTGCCACGCTATTGCATGTTTCCCACAATTATTAAGATAGCATCATATTTAATCAAAATTCGTACACTGTGTAACATATATCATCTATAACTATATTTAATTAATCTTCCTTTTCTTGACAGATTTTTAGCTTTCAGGGAAGGCTTGTTTTTGCCTGCTCCGTACGAATATGAAAGATAGGTCAGTTCCGACGACATTAATGGTGATAGTGATTTTTGCCTTTAATTATGGGTGCTTTGTCGGATTACCGTCTAATGCGAAATTTGGATTTGTTTTTTCCTCGCCAGTAAAATTTCGGGGTTTGGGAATTATAATTGTGAGTTGATTTCGTATTTTGGCTTGGTTCATCTTCTAAAATTTTTCTGACAAAACTTATGCAATAAATTCTGATAAGAACTTTAACTTTTTTAAAATTTTGTTTAATAAAAAACAAATTAAATCAGTCATGGCTTATTAATCCAAGTGTATAGCCCCCCACCCCCCCCCCCCCAAAAAAACGAAGTCAATGTAAATGTCTCCCCATAGTAACCATCACATAATTGGCACAAGTGGTTAAAGGTTTTAGTCAAAAGCTTACCCCTTACTCATGGGTTATTGGTTCAGATCCTTCTCATCACACACGAAAAGTCTTACATTGGTGGGTAATATAATTAATGAACCCCTCGCAAGGATCTTTCTTGTCGCCTAAAGAGTCCGTCAAAGATTCTTTTGACCTTTGATTTAATCCAGTTGGTGAGCTCTTTGTAATTCCTAATGGCGTGTTTAATTTGCTTCCGAGGAAACAATATCCTGTTCATAGTTTCTGCTGCAGAAACCAAACACATGCGAAAACGGTGGCCTATATTCTAAATGGTTGAATCCATAGGTCGTCTAAGGAATACTGGGGATTAGAACAGAGAAATTAAAATTTTCTGCCGCTTTTACTATATATTACCCTGATGTATGATGAACACGCAAATTTTGGGATATCCTAGTTAACATGGTATAAAGCAAGAAGATGAATAATACAAGAGAATGAGTACTCTCAAGTATAGGATTTTAGGACTTAAGTATGGTACTTAATATACCTCATCTACTTTTGTCTATCACATTAATTATTTTTCCCTGAAGTATTCGTTTTAAAATTTAAACGATTGAACGTCAATAGTCTAGTAAATGAGAGGGTGTCTTAGAAAAACTATCATAAATTGTTGATATATTAGTTATAATTAAAAGAAGTTACTTTTTTAATCTTTATGAATCAGGTGAAGAATTCCCATATTTAATCAGAACCTGAGCGAGTATAGGCTAACTATATGTACTCAAATTAAAATGTAGGGCTATTCAAGAAGAGTCGGTCTCGGCCAGCCCGTTTGTGTCCCAATCATGTCCAGATTAATTGGTAGGTCCCAGTTCGAAAAATTGCAAGACAAGCCTTAAGCAAATCGAAACAAAATCAAGGATATAACTGGATGGGATATATGATGCTTATTGGGACGTCCCGTCCCGTCCCAGTATATCATTTTACATATTATTTTTTTGGACTTCTAATGTGTTAAAAATTTCTTAGTATCTATGTGTTCAATCTCCAATCTCCGTACGCAACTTCTATATAA